TGGAACCAACTTCCAAGAGAAGTGGTGCTGGCCCCTACCCTGGGGGTCTTTAAGAAGAGGCTGGATGCCTACCTGGCTGGACTCATTTGAGTCCCGTTTTTGTTTTGGGGTTTTGTTGTTCTCCCACCCTGGCGGGGGGTCGGGCTAGAAGATCTACTAGGTCCCTTCCGACCCTAAATCTATGAAACTATGAATAAGTTGTTTGATGGCTACCAACAAGAATCAGGAGAAAATTAGTGGTGATGCACATTCATTTCCCACCTCTAAATACTGAAGCTAGTACGAAAATTTACTGTACTAAATATTGAAGAGCACTAGCTCTTGATCAAATGCATGGGATGATAGCTGAAATGAAATTGTAGGAATATTAGTTATTTAAACTCTTGGAACAGGAACTTTATTGGAACTCTTGGAACAGCACATTGATTAAAGTCCTCATTAGATGAGGTAATGCAAAAATAGTTTGTTCACTTACATTTTGGAATAGACAGGAATGAATACCAAATACGAAAGGTCCTTTTAATCCGCACAGTGCATGCACAGTGCCAGGTGTACATTCATTGAATTGGGTAGTGCTGCAGAATCCACATGCTTCTTTGAGGGAAGGCATTTCTAATTGTTAATCACTTTTTAATTGAAGAAGAGTTTTCTGTCTGAAAAAAGAACTGTTTAGAATTACTAATGTTAGAAATACAAAGTTGCCACAAATTTAAAATGATTTTTAAAATTTAATTATTTTAATAGAAAAGAACAAAAATAAAAAAATGGTTGGCAAGTAGGAAGTTTGAAAATAATATTAATTTGTAGTAGTTGATGCATCCATTGTTTCAGAGAATGTGTTTTTATAATTTAGTTTTGTAGTTATTTATAAAACTGTAGGTATACATGCTCTCTTGTAAAGATGGTTTTGATTAACTTTTGCATTAGAGCTCAATGTCTGGTTAACCATATATTAGAAACAGAATTAAATACATAGCTACAGTTTATAGAATAGAGGAGCTTTTAATTTTTCCCCTTGGGCCGGAGAAAGCTTGTGGCTGCGTACAAATCCTCTGGCTTGGATTAATTGATTGTACATATCGGGCCTTTGTCAAGAGGTAGCAGTTCCTGAGAGAAAAACATTGGCCCTAATTTAGAAGATCCTAATTAGCGTGGCATGAATTAAATTTGTTTTACAGATCTCTTTTACATGCAACAGGTTGTAATAGGTATTTATATTAAAATCTGTTTCATAGGCCTACAGAGAACAAATAAAAAGGGAGAGTGTACTGACTGCTACTAGTATCTTGAATAACCCAATAGTGAAAGCACGATATGAACTGTATGTCAAGGTAAGATGACAGTGGAAAAGGTAATGCTAACTAACGTTTGTGTTATCACTCTGTTCCTTCCACAATCCCAGTGATGATGCTATTTTTAATACGTTTCTCTCTTCTGGCCCTGCATTTTTCCAGGCCACAAGCCAGGTTCAGCAACCTATAGCCTCCAAAGAAGTTACAGCTGGCCCATGAATACTTGATCCATTTCATGTTTTGCTAAAAATGTACTTATCCCCAGCCATTCAGTCTAGTCCATGTTCTACTTTGTATTTTATTAACAGCCAGCCAGTTCCTCCCCTACTCCTGCCCCAGCTTCTCTGTTCTGTGCAGAGAGCAGCCTTCTGCACAGTGGGGATGATTGGGCCAGCAGCATGGGATCAGTGACGCGACAGCAGCTGAGGCCCAGGCTATGGCCCATCATTAGTAAAAGGTTTTTGACCCTTACTCTATGTCAGGGGTATTAAACTCATCTGGCCCTCTGGGTTGGTGGAGCCAATGTGTGGGCTGGACCAGGATGGACTCTCTGCAGAGTACCCACAAGGCTAAGCCCAGCTTGGGCAAGCTGTACATGTCAGCATATGTGACACGGGGTTTAGCCCATGTGTTACATGCAGCCATTGGGGCTGGAGCTGGTCCAGCGACCCACGGGATAGATCATACAGCATCACTGGCCAGATGTTTGACACCCCTGCTCTAAGCAATGTAATATCCTCCTAGTCTGATATGCTAACATTTTAATGGACGTCCCAGTGTCCTCCAAAACTGTTAGCACTGACTTTTATTTGGGGGTTTCCCTGTTTGTCCAGCTTCGTGTTTCAGTGCTTAAAGAGAGGCATTCAGCTTTTTCAACTTCAAGTGCACTGTTAATGCTTGAATAATACATGCTTAGCTTTTAGAAAGTGCTGTTCATCTGTAGGTTTCAAAGTGACTTAAAAAGAAGCTAAGTGTGATTATCCTCATTTTACAGGTTGGAAAGTGAGTAAATAACAGTTAGCATGGTATAGGCTCTTGCAAGGATTGCAAACTCGGACATAACATTAAGTTGAACAAAAGTATTTTGCAGACATCCTCCTGTGAAATGGAGACTACGTGTGAATGAAGATACAAAAATAACTGCATTTACTCAAATATACATAAGTTTTCCCCCCCAGTCAACATGGGTGGGTGGGGAGGGGATAAGCCCCATGTCTTACGTTTGCATACAAGGAAGCTCACTAAATAGACTGTTTATCATTACACTGCCAAAAGCAACATGTGCTTGGTAATGGAAACCAACTGTGAAGTTAATTAAATGCAGCAAACACTGAGCATGACTATAAAACACATGGCCCATATAGGCAAACATACTGAAGGGAGCCTACCACAAGGATAAGTTAGTTAAGTCCATCTGAATAAGGTATATAGTAGTGTCCATTTGTTCAATTCAGTTCCCCTCAGCGCTGACTCTTTCAAGATACAGTGAGCCACTACTCTGAATACATTTGCACTTCTCCATTCCCACAGCTGAGCTGCACCTTTCTTTCCCATTTCCACTGGGTCCTGTTTTTAACCAGTTTTAAGTGTCTGGGAAATGTCACTGAGTGGGGTCCCAAACAGCTTATTTAGAATCCCTGTATTGTTCCCTTTCTGTTGCATATGATTAGTGTGGCCCTGCCCTCCATGAGGTAGAGCTGGACCAGGTTGCTTTGCACCTCAATGGTATATACATTTTTGGAGGATCCCAGGACTTACGACAAGAACAGCTGGTTTCAGTCTATGAGTACCTGTAGTTATTTCCCTATATACACATTACTATAGATATATTTATTTTTAGGTCAGTATTTTCAAATTTGCGTCTCGCTTCCATGTGCTCAGGGAGAGCAGGGTTTGATGGTAAGGAAGGGGGGAAAGGGACTGGAGGGGAAAAGATGTGGTGGGCAGAGGGCAAGGGCTACCTGACCCCAAGATCTATTTTTCCCTGCCGTAGCAGTGGGAGGGGGACATATTCGAGGCAGACCTCCAATAATTAGATTCTGTACCTGGAAAATCATAACACATTTATAAATTTTCCATATATAGAATCTAATTATTGGCAGGGGGGTCATCTTATAATAGTGTCTTATTATTTGAGTAAATATAGTATTTGTGTCCACAGAGCATTCAAGTAATTCTTAAATATCTTTGATGCTTGTTTATACCAGGGGTATCCAACTCGTTTGGGCTGCAAGACTGTATGTGGGCCAGATCCAGACCCAACTCTTGTGGCAGGGCAAGGAGTGATGGCACTAACAGCTGTGGATGCCTGAGCCATTGTCAGCTCAGGGAGCTGCAGGGGGTTAAGATGGTCACTTGCACCGCCTCTGCTGAAATGAGTCTCCAACAGGGCTCCATACTCCAAAATTCAGTGGCGGGGTTGGCAATCATGGTATTAACCGTGTGTGCTCAGAGAGCTGCATGAGTTAACACCGCCACCACCCACACCCTCCAGGAGCCCCATGAGCTGGATCCAGTCTGTGAGCTGTATGTTTGACACCCTGTGTCTACATGAATCCCAAGATGGTCCCTCCTTCCCAACTAGTAGTAGTGTCCTTACTTGATGTCTGTGTTGATGAAGGAACTGAATGGTAGTCAGAGCTGCTTTGCCTTGTATTCCTTTGCTGTGATGAGGGTGTTTTAGTCACCCAGTAGGCAGTGCTGACTTGAGATTCTGGGCTTGAACACATGGACATTTATGTGGACAAAAATACTACAGAAAATTGTATTTGCCTTTCTTTCCAGGCTTCTTGTACAGTAGGCTTGTCCAACCTTCAGCCTGAGAGTTGCATGAAGCCTACAGAGGGTTAATCTACAACCCCTGGGCTCCCTTTAGCCAGCATTTCCCTCATTTCTCTAGCTGCAGCTAGCATCTCCAGGCTTCCCCTCCCTTGGTTGGCCCTTTGTTGGCTTTTGCTTTCTGCCCAGGGGGCAGGGCAGAGCAGCATGGCTGAGTGCAGCCTGCAGGGAAGGCGGGAAAGAGGGTGTGGGAGTAGCCCTCCCACAGGTGCTGCAGCTGGGGCTAGGAGGGGGCACAGTGAGCCACCTACCTGCACAGTGCTGGGGAAGTATGCAGTCAGGTATATGAGATGGGGCCATGACCATTCCTGGTGTGGTCCTTGGACAGTCCTGTTGTACAGGAAAAAGCATAAATCTAGCTGAATGTATTTTTGTTTGTTTTTTAAACCTTCATATATCAGGGATGTGTGGGGTTATTTTTGGCTTTGGTGAGTCTCACTGAGTTTTTATTCTAGTTTTGTTCATTTTTTCTGAGTTCTCCCATCACTAGTCTACACTGAAAGATACTGTCTTTAATGATCAAATAAATTTAACAATCCACACTTTCATGTCTGTCTGTCTGTCTGTCTCTTTTCTTTACACGCAAACAAAAAGACAGAAGCTCTGTGTCCTGTCTGCCCCTCCTCCATTTACTTTTTTTATAATTCCAAGTAATACTCTTGGAAGACTAATGCTTCTTTAACATTTGTATAATTAGTCTAAATTGATGCTATCTCATTTTAAGCAGTAAGGCACCTTGTGCAGAAATTGCCCATCTGACATCATTCCGTTGCCTTTGTTACTTATTTTATCATTTTAAAATTGTATAATAAAATAAAAATGAAAATTGAGTTTCATTCTATTCTTGTTTTTCCAATTGAATAGGTGGAGCATTCAGCTAAAATGACTAACTTATTTAAAATACAGTTATTTGTGAAATCTGCTTGGCTGCTTCCTGTTTCCCCAAGGATAACTCTGAATTCCAAGCTAGCTAAATGATTATTCATTTAAGGTTTAACTTTATTTTTAATTTTGTCTAATAGCTTGCTTTTTAAAAGTCGTATTGTCTTTGTGAGAATGAATAGATGGATGTTGTTCAAATACGGGAAGATAGCAGAAAAGTTTTTTTTTTCTGAAGTCATCTTTTAATTCAGAAAAGCAGAGCACTTGTTTATGTCTGAAGAATTTGTGCTTTATGACATTTTCAGTATTCAGTTTATCTGTTGAATTAAATAATAAAGTGATACTGAAATTTTGAGCTGATCTGTAGTTTAACCCTTTTGTACTATGATCTTCAGCAGTTCAAACTGTTATGTGCCAAGTTCTGTTTTCATTTGAGCCAGTCCCTAAAATCTCAAGAGTATTCTTCAGTTTTTCACTTTATATTCAATTGTGTATTTATAAAATATAAAAATTAGATGTAGTCCTCTATGAGTTTTGGAAATCCATGTGTTTTTGTATGTGGAGGGAGCAGTTTCCCTTTTGGAGTTTCAGGTTTCAAAATATTCTAATTTTTCAACTACAGGGTGAAAATCCGTTTGAAAATAGTGATCAGACTCAGGAGCAGCAGATAGAGGAAGAAGACAAGGCTGATGAAGCTGTTGAGGAGGAAGAGGAGGAGGAGGAAGAGGAGGAAGAAGAGGAGGAGGAAGTGGAGGAGGAAGAGGAAGTAGAGGAGGAGGAGGAGGAGGAAGAGGAGGAAGAAACAGAAGAACAAACTGACTTCACCCTTGACCACACTGGAGATAACTAAATGCAGAGAGAGAGAGAAAATTGAAGTGGGGAAAACACCTTTTTATTTCTGTTCCATAGTGGCAAACTGTAAGATACTTTCAAAATAGGTTCAAATAAGAGAGTTGTCTAAAACCCCCCACCCTGTGCATGCATTCCATTATGTGGAGAATTTCTGTTTCCCATTTGTTTAAAATGAAGTAGATTATTTAGTTAATTTTTTTTATAGCAAGCCAACTATTAGAGCTGATTAAAAGTGGTGCTGTATATTTTTTTTAAGTTTCCTTTCTCTTACTTTGCTGTTGAAAATTAGGTATATTAGTTTATAGTCTAATCACTTGAAAAAAGGAAAACTCTTTGGGTTTAAATAGAGTGCTAAATGGCATAAAATATTATGTGGCTCATAATATTTACCCCTTAGTGCAAGGATGGTTACATTTTAAAAATTGTGCTGTGAACATGGCTGGTTTTGTTTTTTTTTTTTACTAAATTGCACGCTATATATTAGTACGTGTTATGCCTTGTAGCTTTTTGTGATAAGATGTACCAGTTTGTAGCAATAAAACGTTTTAGAAATGCCAGTGTTTTTACTGTCTGTAGATAAACACTAGCATATTGAAATACATAAAAACAAAATTTCCCACTACAGATTTCTCTAGCCCAGAGATGCAATGTTATCCTGTGGTAGGCTGGGGCGGGATGGAATGGAATGACTCAGCGTATGTCTGATATGAACTGGCACTAGGACCCAGCTGCCAACACCGCCACTTCCCACCACCCAGCTGCAGGGAGTGGCATGGGCAAAATTCCACCCCCTCCGCTGAAGCCCCTGCTGCCCAACTCTGGAGCAACTGTATGGGCTGGATCCAAAGTCTCCATAGGCCAGATTTGGCCCTTGGGTTATAAATTGCCAACCCCTTCTCTAACTCAATTTATGAACTCTTTTTATTCAACATTCAGTGATTTAACACCCTCTTGTTGGATTCTGCCATTTGTCAGTATACACATCAAAGTTGTGCTTACATTTTATACATAAGAAATAGGAGTAGAAATGGGATTTTGTGCTCACTGACTGCACCGTCATATAGTTTACACATCAGATATGCATACTCGTAATTTTTTTTAATTTAGCGTTTTAACCAATTTAGCCTTTTAACCAAATAAGAATTAAGTTTTCATATTAAAAAAATTAAGTCTTGTTTATGTAAGTGTTGTATTGGTTTTACTTAAAATGTGATATTTTCTAAAATAAACTGGCTTGGTGAACTTTATTTTTGTTCAGCATAACTAGATGCCTAATTAACTTACACTGCAATAGTTCAGTAAATCAGTTTTTTGCACCTTAAAATTTATGTTTTGCAGTGTTAGGGAAATTTTCAATCTAATTGTGTTCAGTTATAGCAATACCTGTTTGTGGAATGTTTACATGGTATTGATCCTTATTTTGGTCAAAAGGAGACAAGTAATAATATAAGGGTGTTGTTGCACATTAACATACACACGTTAAGGGTTTCTAAACCATCAGTGTATACACATTAGGGCAAGGAAACATGCTAAGGACCCTCTGAATGGCTTGGAGATAGAGATAATCCTAGATGGAAGTGAACTAACTTGTTTTAGGCAGCTCGCTTGTATTGCAGTCACATGACTGTTCCATAGATGCAAAATCAGTTGAGAGTGATCCTCTAGCATCCCAGGAGGCACCACTCCCAGCTACTGTATCTTCCCCCACAGTGACAGTGGGGGAGCACCTAAAGGTAAGAATTCCCCCTCTCTCCCATTCTGGGCTCTTCCCAGTCCCTGTGCCCTTTCTCTGCCCTCCCTTTTCCCAACCCCTACCCTGGATTTCCTCCCCTGCTCCTCAGGAATTCCGACCTGCTCCTGTCTCTTCTGCTCCTTGGCATGCCCCTGTGTTCCCTCGTTCACTTTCAGTGCCTGTGCTGTCCTGGAGGAGCAGGCATAGAAGGGGAACCCCCCTGCCCAGACATTGCTGCTGCTGGGCTGCTACTACTTTCCAGACTTAGCCCAGAGAGTGGCAGTGCTGGCAGCAGGTGGGTTCCTCTTTTCTGTGTATGTGGGGGGAAAGGTGGAGGTTGACCATGTGCAAGGTCCCAGGACCTGGCTGGAGGTGGGGAAAGGCAGGGGATGGGGTGTGTGTCACAAAGCTCACTTGAGCGGTGCAGTACAGGTTCGGGTCTGCTCTCCTGCCTCCCCATCCAGCCTGTGGCTTTCTGCACTGCTGCGTGTCAGGCAGCCTGCCTACACTCACCAGATAGTCCCAGCCCTGGCAAGCATGCATAGCTTCCTGGCAGGACTGCTGCTGGTGCACTTGCAGCCACCTGGGTGCTGCTCAGCTTCCAGTGGTTCCTGCCCCTAATGTGCAGCTCCAGATTGGCTCCTCCTCCAGCCCCAGTGTGCAGCTGGCTACCTTCTACCTGCACCACCTGCCTAGTGCAATAAGCAGCCACCTGCAGGTGGCTGAGTGGGTGGAAAACAGCCAGGAGCTGGAGTCCTATGTGATGGGGCAGGAACTGCCCTGCTAGAGCTCCTTCCTCCCCCTCCATTCCACCCCGCAGCAGCATAGCAGGAGGAGGTGCCACTGCGGGAGGCAGGGGGAGCTGAGTAGTACCTGAGCACCTGCAGCTGTACTGGAAGCAGCCTCACTGGGAAGCTGTGCGCACTGGCTGAGGCCAGGGCCATTGGCAGGCACAGGCTGGAGCGCAGTGCAGGCTACGCAGGGCAGGAGTTGGGTGATGTTCAGCTCCATGTGGAGTACTGCAGGAGTAGCTGCAGCTGGGATCCAGTCAATTGGAGGGGTCTGCCCATGGGTTGGATCTAATCAGTTGGCAGCCTGGATCCAGCCTGTGGGTTATATTTTGCCCACCACTGCTGTAGGGGCACATTACAGGGGCTATTAACTCTTGATGTGTGACTTCTCAAAGCACATGCTAATTTTAACACCAATTAAAAATGACCTGAAAATGCACACTAGTTTGAAGTGCCATTGTCTGGACTAGAATAAAAAATGAAACCTTTTTTTGGCATATGTGACCAAATATTAAGCAGGTGGTTAGTGAAAATAAAAAAAATCCATGAGTTGTTCCTTGCCAAAGCCCTTAGATGCACTGAATTACTAAGAAATGTCTCAATAACTCATAGCTGCTTTTAGCCCAAATGACTCCATGTCTGATTGAATTCAAGCTGAACTTCAGGAAAATTAAGGACAAATGGTGCAGTTATAGTTCTCCAGAAGGCCTCTGTGGAGTGTGTCCATTTTGTGGAGTTACCGTGGAACTGATTTGGAAAAGACTGTTCATCCCACTTTCAATCACAGCCTTGAATGAACTGCCAGAGCTGCTATTTGTTATGGTGCTGTCAATGATTTGTTTTTCTGGCCAACTTTAATGTCTGAATGAATGGTAGCTTAAAGTCAGCTCAGGAGTTCCTGAGTTACAAAGACTTATCAAGAAGTCCATCTAAATCACAAATCAAGCCCAGGTTACATGCATTTCAATCCAATGTTTAAACTACAAGATGCTCTCCCCACCAAATCTATATGTGACCACATTTTGAATTTGGTTTGGATGCTGAAGTAAAAACCTTTCCTAAATGGACTAACTGTTCACCTGCAATGGTGTATTTGAGATCAGCATAACCTTCTCCACTGGATTTCAGGGTTTTGTATCCCTTCTACTTTGCCACCCCATTCTGATTTGTTCTCCAAGTGTTTGTTTTACTTTATAGACTACTGGCTCTAAATAGGATCACAAGGCATCCAGGGAAGAAGTTTTCCCCCTCCTAAAAGGCTGAAGCTGTAAATTATATTATCTTCTTTTCTATAGCAGCCAGAGGTAGGAATTGGCAAGAGCTTTGGTGGCATGTCAAGGCATTCTTCAGGTAGTTGACAAGAACTCAGATGGTATAATGCTACAAAGATTTCTATGAGCTTTTTTTGACATATTTTTTGCAGATGTATTCTTGACCTTCCTTGGGGCAGTTTCTTGAACTTCTTCCTGTTAAGGACAAGTGTCCAGAAGCTCCTTTTGAACAAGGGCTTGGTCTTTTATTCACCGGTGTCAGTATAGGCTCTTTTTGCATCCAAATTCAATGACAATCAGTGAAGCACGTGTCTTTCCGTAAACAGATTCATGACAGTCATGCAACTGCCAGGCATGCTGAGTGATAGTCTCCACTCCATTTCAGGGAAGTCAATAGGATTACTGCTGATAAAATTGCAAGGAAAGAAAAGTAGTCTATATCTTTCACTGGGTTTAGCAAAGAGAGGTGCATACCTCTGTTAGAAACCAGTGTTCCTTTTGTACTGAATACTATCTCTGATTCAATGTAAAGGAATTTCTATCTCTTGCAGCTAAGAGGAATAAACAAAATGAAGGTCCTACTGAGCCCCTGCAGCTCTGGGCTGCAATGTGTTGAGTGCTGAAGGAGTCATTACAAAATTTGGCTGCCAAACTCTTCTAACAAATCTCATTTGAATATGTGCAAAGGGCACAGCAAAGCCCAACCAAATTTGGGCTTCTATATGCAGGGTCAGCCAACAGCACTTGATTGACACTGGAGAGACCTCTTCCCAAATCAAGTTCTTGCTCCAAAGTGTGTACTTGCTATGGCTTATCAATTATGAATCTGTAAGAATTCTTTAACATGAGGAAACAACATACTTTCTCCTTCAACTCATTCTTGAAAATGGCTGAATTATTGGAGTTTGTAAACATAAAGAATAGATGAGTGAGGAGTGCGGGGCTTCAGGTTTTGTCGTTACCCAGAACTATGCATCTTCCTCTCTGAAGACCTGTTAAGGCTACTTGAGTCTGGGCTGGAGTCCCTCTGTTGGTGTATCTTTCACTTGCGCAGCTGTCCAGCAGCTGGCACATGTAACAGATTTTGGTTCTGTGGAGCAGCAGTGGAACTGCATAAGAGTAACAGTAAGCATGTACAGATCAGATTGAAGGACTAGATCTTAGCCTTTACCAGTGGAAAAAATGATGCATCTGGGAATCAGGCTTAGATGGAATCAGATTGGCTGAATTCCTAGTTAGTATAACAAATGGTAATCTTTTGTGAGCTGCAGAAGTTAATACAGGATTTTAGTTCCTCTACTTTTTAGTGACACGTATAAATGTTTTTTAAGTGAGGCACATAATGTTGTAGCCAGTTCTTTTGCCCCTTTACAGTGCTGTCCATTTTGCCTAAGTGAAGTAAGATAATGATATGAATAATCCTTTATATGCAGCCATTTTAATTAAAAACAAACCCTGCTAGCTTTTATTGCTGCTCTGAAGCTAAAAGCCTCAATAGGATGTACCGTAGTAACGCGCTGCAATCTGAATGCTGGAGTTCTCAACCCACCCTGTATCAAGGGGTTAATTTGTTGCATCACTGGGGATTTGAATTGCTTGTCACTGCTGAGGTCACTGTCACTGTTAAATGACAGATGTCTTTCTGAAAATCCCTTGCATCTTTCCTTGTGATGTAAAGTTCACTGACTGCAATAACAGGGTGTTGTTCTTTAATAACTGTTAAATTTATTCTTTAGAGAATTTACAAAGATGTCCTATTGCTC